AGAGAGAGAGAGAGAGAGAGAGAGAGAGAGAGAGAGAGAGAGAGAGAGAGAGAGAGAGAGAGAGAGAGATGGCATGCAGACAATGAGCAAAATGGGCGTATATGACTCACTCAATCGGGTGCTGAATGTGTGGGGCGTTGAATACGTCCACGTTCAGACACATCTGTTTGCACTTGCAAATGCAATGCAGGTGTGTCGTTTCAACCTGCGGCCAAGGCCACGCCCTTTCCGATTCAGACTTTTCCAGTTTTCCACCCTGCCGCTGCTTTGCCACTGTTTGGACCAAAACCCAGCGCGCGGTCCCACGGGCAGCTACCGGTCCCGCATTTTCCAAAGAAACTGCCACCCCCCCCCGAAGTTCCACCCTGTTGCTGCTTTGCCATCGTTTGGACCAAAAATCCACCGCACGGTCCCACGGGCAGCTACCGGTCCCACATTTTTCAAATAAACTGCCAATCCCCCCGAAGTGTCGTGCCTGCGCCTGCCTGCATTTTTCGAGCCTTTGAACGACGAACCGAGCCCGAATCAACGACGAAAATGTCTGAGGGGGCAATGTCTCAGGGGGGAAAACGCACCCCTGACGGGCTGCGGACACAAGTAATTTAGTAGAATATGGGAAATTTGGGCACGCACCCCGGCCACCCCAAGACCCTACCAATACCGACGGTCTCAATGGTTGGCAATATGCGCGCCCAGCAGGTCAGTGGGGATTGAACCTACTATCTCCTGAGTACCACTTGAGCTAGGGCCGTTGTTCAACTGTATGCTCTCTCTTGAGGTCGCCGTACCAGTCCCGGCCCCTGGGAATGAGCTCGTTGCTTGGGCGCTGAGGTACTCCTCCGTCCAGAAGAGGTTCCATTCCTATGGCCGTCCGTCCTTCGCAGCCGAACAGATTTGCGGCCGTCCCTCGGACGGATGAGCGGCTGGATGCTCTCTCTCGAAGTCGCCGGACCAGTCCCGGCCCCAGGGAAGGAATTTGCTCGTTGGGCTCTCTAAGGCACTCTACACTCGGAAAAAGGTCTGAGAGGGTCGTTCCGTTCCGAGGGCCGTCTATCCTTGGCAGCAGAACCGATTTGCAGCCGTCCCTCGCATGAGAGGGAGCATTTTTCTTCTGCGAGTCCTCTCTCTCTGTGCCGCCTGAGTGTAGTCTGCCTTGGTCGTGTTCAACTTGGTCAATTGTCCCGGTTATGGTTTTACAGCCAGCAGGTCGAGCTCGCCGATTTGGAGACCACGTGGGCGGGAAAGAGAAGGCACTGAATCGTGCGTCGCGCGGGAAGATCATCCGATCGGGTTTGGCGCGTTGTCCACGTGGCCATTGGCGGGGTGTGGTCGAATTCGAGTATTATGTCTTCGCGATTGATGAGGAGGTGCTCAAGACAGGAGCGTGATTGACCCGTCAGGTGTCTTGGTGGGGTACTGTGCGCCGACTTGGGATGGACTCTTGGATCCCGCGAAAGGCCGCGAAACCGTCGTTTGCTCCCCACTTATACGTGCACTAGCGCCAGCGGCGCCAGCGGCGGTGACATCATTTGAGAGGAGGGACCTTGTTCGTCATCCCTCAGCTCTGATGGTGGTCCCATCCTTTATTACTCCATCAACAGTTGATTGCGATTAGATAACCAAGAGCCCCATAGGGTGACGTGTAAGCCTTTGTACAGTCGAAAGCTAGACACGTGTTCACTCGTCTGCCGTGTTCTTGCAGGCTTTGTTCTGTCGAGAGTAATGCCTTCCCTCAATTGTCGAGTTCCAGGTTGAAAGCCATCGTCCTCGAATAGGTCGTGATTAGCTGCTTGATTGATTGATCGATTGATTAGATTAGGCGGCAACTCTCGAGCCCGCGTTGGGTCTTACGTACTGGTACCGAGACATGGCCGTGCCGGAGATGACCGGAATCCCGGCAGGTCCTCCTTTGTCCTTCGCTAACGGGGACAGCATGGGGGATGGAGGGGTGTCATCTGACGGCGAAGATGCGGTGGCGAACGGGACTTCGTCTGTGATAGGTGACAGCCATCAAGACAGCAAAACGAAGAGCAGGAAGCTGAAGCAAGCAGATAAGAGGCGGCGGAGGAGGCAGCAGAAGAAGAAGCAGAAGGCCGCGCCCGTTGTTATCGCCGAAAAAGCTGCCGACAAACCAGAACAAACTGAAAAGCCCGAGAAAGAGAAGAAGAAGAAGAGAAAGGAAGCGGTATGTTCTCGCCTTCCGCGATTGCTCCTCCTCCTCCTCCACCAGCCCCCAGTCCCCTTTCCGCTTTCCCCTTCCCCCTTTCCCCTTCCCCCTTTCCCCTTCCCCCTTCCCCCTTCCCCCCCTCCGCGCTCCTTCTCTTGTTTCTTTAGTTATGATGAATGCTATCTCGGAAATGAATACACGGAGAGCCGATTTTTTTAATCCTGGTGATTTGGAGAGTGTGACAGAAACTGTACGAGCGACGTAGAATGGATCCAGATCCAGACTTGAAAATATGATACGGAGTCACAGAAGAAATGCAACAAGGAGAAGGTATGAATTATTGTATAGCGAATGAAGAGTATGTGAATCAGAAGTGGCTAAAATCACAAATCAGCAAATTGTTCAGCGGGCTTCTGAAATCGGTTAGTACATTCCTCCCCCCCCCCTCCCCCCTTCCTCTTGTCGCTCCCTTCCTCTTGAGGTGCGACTTGTAGTTGGGAGCGATTGAGGTAGGTGTCGTCGTCATTAACAACTTCAGGCCCGCTACCCCTGCCCTTCTCCGCCATCCCGCGCCGCTCCCCTTGACGTGCGGCTTGTAGTTGTTTGTTTGTGAGTGATTGAGGTAAAAGCTAGCTGCTCTCCTCCGCTCTCCGCCGCGCTTCTGCAGTTTTGGCTTTATTCCTTATGGACTCGATCTCTTGATTCATCCATCACTCGATTGGATTTTTGGATGCTATGATTTGTGCTACTTTCGTCAATCTATTCTTTCAGTCTTTCCCATTAATCCGTTGTCGCCCCCCGAGCCTGCTCCTAATTAATGATTACTGCCCTGTGTGTGACTGATTCAAGCGCGAGTCTCTCTCTCTCTCTCTCTTCTCTTTGGCGCCTCCTTTGATAACACTCTCGAAATTTCTCTCTCCTACGGATCTGACGACTGCAAAGATCGATATGAGAGATTGAGGTAGTTGTCATAAAAGATAGATAGATAGATAGATAGATAGATAGATACAGAGAGAGAGTGAGAGAGAGAGTGAGAGAGAGAGAGAGAGAGAGAGAGAGGTCGGCGGCGCGCATAAATCAGTGATGATGGTCGTCGGAGTCCTGGGAAGCTAGACGTCATACACAAGACGCTCGGACGAGCACTATTATGAAATTGGGATCCACACTCGAGAATTGCGATGATAGGCATTGATTGACCAATTCTTGTGGGGACAGGGGTAGCAAAGGGTAGCAAAAAGGCACATTGATTTCGACACCCGCCCCGCCTTCCCCTCAACCAAGCCCCCTTTCTACCCCCCTTTTACCCTCGCTTATGCTCTCGCCTCTTCCCTCCCCCCCCCCCCCCCCCCCCCCCCCCAACCCCCCCTACTCCCCCTCCCTTCTCTGCTCCCCCTCCCGTCCTCCTTTTTTCACCCCGCCTTTTTCTCTTCTTTCCCCTCTCGCGCTTCTGTCTGCCCCTCTTTCCCTTCGCCGTCTTGTTCCCTTTCTTTGTACTTCGATAATACTAGTAATTGTTTTGACATGTCTTAGGGTCCGTCGATGAGGATGTTCGGGGGCAATGAAATGACATGCTTCCTTTTCGCCATCAAAGGTCATGAAATGGATGTTCAGGGGTAATGAAATGGATGATGCCGTCTTAGGCGCCGTCTTGCTTGATGACGAACTCTCAATAAGACTGAGTTTGACATGTCTTAGGCGCCGTCTTATTCTCTTGTTTGATGACTAACTATCAATAAGTCGATAAATGATCGCCTGGTGGCATGCTTCTGGTCCGTGGCAAGCTCCAAAAAAAGCTAGGCGTCACGTCCATCCATCGAAAGAGGGGAAAGCAATCAACCGTGTTCTCGTTTATGACGACAGCCATACCTTTTGGCTGAGCGGCAGATGCGCGCCACCACCGTGAACTACACTGATTGCTATGGAAGGTAGCTTCAATGGAATCAAACACTACGGGAGCGGCCTGGATGTTTTTGGACACCGTATCAAAACGCTATGGTAGAGAAAAAGGGGGTGAGGAGAGCAAGTTTGCTTCCTTGTCGTATACGTGGGCAAGGTTACTCGCCAGCATCTTGTTTTTTTTTTTTTTTTTTTTTTTTTTAAAATTGTCGGCCACCTTCTTGTTTTTTTTTTTTTTTTTTTTTTTTTTTTCCCCCCCCCCCCCCCCCCCCCAAAAAAAAAAAAAAGAAAAAAAGGGAGTACCCTAGAGCCCAAATACTAATGCGGGAGGAGATGAGAGCATCCTTCCCTGGTAAGAGGTCAGGTGGCTCCGGTCTATTGGTCGGGATCGGGAGTCTTTGCTGAAGACGGCGATCTCTGCTTTTTTTGGTCACTCCTTCAGGGATTGCAGCCCAACCATCGGAGGGTGGGGAAGGGGAGGGGCGAAGGGGGATTGGGCTTGTCCATGGGAAGAGAATGTTTTGCCTTTGCAAAGGAAACAGAGGCTAAAACGACGGTGGACGTGTTCATTGCTTCTTGAAAGTCTTCGAGATTGGTTGATTGATTGATTGATTGATTGATTGATTAGTTGATTGATTGGTTGGCTGATTGATTTTGATGCTTTTGGTCGATGAATCGAGACGACGGATGGTGGATTAATCGGTGGATGGGTGATTGGTTGATTGATTGCGACGGTTTCGCTCTATGGATCGAGATTAATTGATGGATGTTGGATAAATCGATGTATGGGTGGTTTGCAATGTATGGATCGAGATTAATCGATGGGGTGGGGGAGGGGGAGGGAGGAGAGGGGGAGGGGTGGCTTCCGGGGAATGGGGAGGGATAGGGAGAGAAATGAAATCAACCACCTCCTGTCTCCTTCTCCTCCCGTCTCCTCCCGTCTCCTCCCATCTCCTCCCCTCTCCTCTCGTCTCCTCCCGCCTTCTCCTGTCTTCTCCCTTCTCTCCTACCTCTCCTGCCCTCTTCCCCCCTTCCTCCCTTCCGCTCCTGAAGCTGGATATAGTTCCGTTCTTCTCAGGGCATGTTCATTCACACTATCAATTCTTTCGTCTGATCTCTGATTATCGTTGCGGTTTCATACATCACAGATCAGTGGCAATTGCGGCCAGATACATCCCTGAAAACGCTTCTGTGCTGATGCTCTCAGACTGTATTTAGTATAGCCTTTATGTTTTCCCCTCTTGTCTGTCGTCGCTGATACATCCCTGAAAACGCTTCTGTGCTGATGCTCTGAGTCTGTATTTAGTATTAGCCTTTTATGTTTTCCCCTCGTGTCTGTCGTCGCTGATACATCCCTGAAAACGCTTCTGTGCTGATGCTTTCAGACTGTATTTAGTATATAACCTTTATTGCGGCCAGATACATCCCTGAAAACGCTTCTGTGGTTTCATCGACGCCCACATTCTTTTGGCGGGACCCAAAAAAAGCCACAAGTGTCTGTACTTTGTCTATACGGTTTCCTAGCCCACGTGGTTCGGACCTGAAGAGGGCTGTGGACAGCTCCGTTTGCCCACGTGGTGCGTACGGTCACAGCCTCCGAGTTCCAAATCCGCGTGGTCTCGCCGGTGCCCACACTGTTTTTGCGACGACGAAAAGTCACAAGTGTCTGTGTGATCACGGCAAGCAGAGTCAGACTGCGTGAATTTACGGAGTGAGGTGCGAATCACACCCGAAGAGAGAGCAGCGGAAGCTACCTCCTACCTCCTACCTCCCAACTTTAGCACTCCACTCTCCCCTACTCTTCACTGTTGCCCTCTCATTTGCCCTACGTGGATTTCGCCTCGTCTTCCCCGAACTCAACGCACCGTCGGCGAGATGACTAATTATCGTCTTCCCCGAACACAACGCACCGTCGCACCCTCATCAGGATGATGCATCAGAAAAGAAAGATAGCTCGTGTACATTCATGATCAGGGTACGTTGTGTTCCCAGGGGAAGACAGGAGTTTATTGATTAGTGAAACAAATGGAGGAGTTGACTAATTAGTGAAACTAATTAGTCGCTTAAATTAGTGCGCATATGTATGTATATATATGTATATATTCTCTTGTAGGACGCGCAATATAGGTCGGAAGGGCTTTGGATTAGTCGAGCGATGATCAATGAATGATGATGCTTTTTTTCCTTTAAAGAATGAAAAAAGGAAAAGACAAAGAATTTCAATCCGTGGCGGCGAACCATCGTGAATGGAATCAGTATTGAAAATATGTCAGCAAACGCAAGAGCCTACGTACCGTCTTCCCCCGAATAGAACGTACGGTCATTATGCCTGTAATTAAGTCAATTTTCAGTCTAGATACAGCGATAATGACCGTACGTTGTATTCGGGGGAAGACGGCTCAGTGGGTACACCCATCAACTGTTGAAATACAGACAGACCCGAGTTCGAATCCAGATGATGATGGAACTTGATGATGAGTAAAAAAACAAAGATTTCTGAATTGCGTGGGGCCGGTCAGCTCAATGATGACAAGTATCTCGAGACCGTCGCCCTTTACCAGAAAAGAATAAAAAGCATGTCAGCACCGGAAACATAGCTTGTATACATTTGTTATAAGTGGTCGGCCGCTTTGTATCAGGGTGCGTTGTGTTCGGGGGAAGTCGATGGTTGTAGCAAATGTCTTTTTTTTTAGCTCAGGAGGGGAGGCATATGCTATAAGTGGTCGGCCGCTTAGGATTACGAAACATGTCCGAAGAAAAAAAAAAAAAAAAAAAAAAAGAAAACCAACAAAACAAAAACAAAAACAAAAACAAAACAAAAACGAAACATGTCGATGGACAGAAATCGAATTTAGGTTTGGGGCGTGCTCAGTCGCGGGAGTCTCCTCGGTGAATCTCTCCACAATTACGGCCAGATTCAGTTGAAGAAGACTCGGGTGTTTGGTCTTATTTGTCTCCCGTCTGTAGCTCAATAGAATGCACGGTCATTATCGCTGTATCTAGACTGAAAGTTGCCCGAAATGCACACAGCTACAATGGCCGTGCGTTCTACTCGGAAAGGAAAAGACGGTAGTCCACCACCTTTTGCCTGGAATCGTGTTTCTTTTTTTTTTTTTTTTTTTTTTTTTGGTTCCTTCGCGGAATTTGTTTCTCCCCGATGACGTGGATGCAACGTCAGCGTTGCTCTGCATACTGAGCGGCCTGTTCACGCACATTCGGAGCTTCTGAGAGGTATCTGAGCAGTAATCGCGAACAGGTTCAGTTGAGGTCTCTGGTGTGAGTATGGCCGAAATTTCCTCCTCATGAGTTGGATTCCCGACTGCAAGTGTATGCCCTGACTCTCGCTTGGGTATCATATCAATTAACGTTCGAAAAGCAACTCAATTAAACAAAAAAAAACGTTGGAAAAGAAAGCCAAAAAGGAATAAAGGACGTAGCCCGGACTAATACGTTAATAACAAGAAAAGCAGCAGAAGGAACAAAAAGTGAAATAGGAAATTCGAATACAACGAGGGGTTTATCGGAGTACTCTAGAGGAAAACTACTCTTCCTGATCGGAAGGCGCTTGCGAAAAAAAAAAAGTAATCGATGAAGGGCATATTCATGCTAGGTCTTGTATTTGTTGCAATTGCAGCTAGATTCACTCACTGTCAAAGTTAGTGTGTGTTTTAACGTAGTGTGAGGCTTAACGTAAAACCGCGGATGTCAGAAAGGGAAAACTCATGATGGAGAGAGAGAGAGAGAGAGAGGTCAGAGGTTTGCCAGGTGATAAATTGGAACCCTCACGTGGACAAGTTCTTGTTGCTGGTACAAAAAGCAGAGAAGTCCGAATCGAATTTCTCAGGCGTGGGGCTCGGTCCCTATGGCGCGAAGTTGCGAACTGTGTATCCATTGTTTTACGTTCTTTACTGAATATCTGAGAGGTTATTTTTTGCTTTTTAAAAAAATTCTATTTTCTGTCTAGGCGTTACCTTTTGTCATCTTCAGGAAAAGGAAAAAGAGCGCTGCAGAGTTTCTTGGCGACTCTTGTCGGTGTTGTATTCGAGTGAGGAATGAACACGGAAGGCCACACACACACACACACACACACACACACACACACACACACACACACAGAGAGAGAGAGAGAGAGAGAGGTTTCAGGGTCGTGGGTAACGGTAACGTCGTGAGTGTGGAGACGCGTGAGCTCTGCTATAGTGCTGTGGTCGGGACAAGCGAAGCGAATGCTGTGGAAAGGGGGGGGGGATTCAATGCCGAACCCCCAACAACGGCTCGAGGCGCAACGCTCTTGGTTAAATGAGGGTTGCCAAGGCACCAGACGTTCGTTTGTGACTAAACGACTCCTGTCCTGGCAGACGTTTGTCTGTGCGGGTTAACTACCCCTGCTGTGCTCGTTACCTGGAAGCCCGCCATAAGGCCTCGCTGCACCACTCTCGAAATGTGCAAAACGAGAGTAAATCCTCCGCTAGAATATGGAAAGATGCACGGCCATGATTTTTGTCTTTTGTGCATGTCGACAGTAGTGCAGCGAGGCCCATAGTTGTGTGATCACTTGCAGGTTTGCTGCGTGATCACAAGCAGGCTACAGGGGCATTGAAACCAAGGCGATCTAGTATTGCAAGTGGACTTGCTCGATTTAGTGTATTTCAGACAGAGAGATACTGGATGCCTTTGCTGAGGTGACGTGCTTGAAGACAGCTGAAGGTGATAGCATAGCATTAGGAATTTGAGGAGCAAATGGGAATCAGTTCACGCTACGGAGGGATGGCCTCGCCACACCGCACACAAAACGGAAAACAAAACGAGGGCATGTCCATAATGGGTGACAGGGTACATTCGTTACTATGTAAGGTAACGAAGGGATCTTTCCATTTTCTGTGGGAAGATGCACTCGTTTTTTGTTTTTGTTTCGTGTGCCGTGTAGCGGGCTCTGTAGTATCTTCAACCAGCAAGAAAAGCCTGGCTTTGCTCTGCGTGATGGAGTGGACGAAAAATATTTTGAGGATAGAAAAGAAGGCAATTTTGTGATTGAAATTTAAACAGAGGAGGGAAGACAATTAAAGCTCCTCAAGTTGGGGACAGGACTTGCGATCGAGATTCATTAGCTTCTAAGTGGCGGGCTCATTTATTCATTCTCATCATGCCTGCATCGAACCGGAAAGATAGGTTGTATACGTTCAGGACTAAGTTGGGCTGTGTTTGCGGGAGGACGGGTATAGGCTTGTTGTGACAGGCGGGGTTAGAGAGTGGGAAGGTCCAGAAGAAGTCTGGTCACACCTCTTAACCCCCCTGTGGTCTATGAGAGTTCATTCAATTGCATACCGTTTGCTCAAGGTTGAGGCTGTATGATGTAAGAGAACGGCCGTTGC